AAGTCAGTGGAGGGAAAGCGGCACTAGCTCGCGTTCTGCGTTATGTTCGAGTTAGTCAACACCCCTTGGAATTTCGAAATCGAAGATAATGACTCAGAGCTGCAATCTAGTGACTCAGAAGACATCATACGACCTGGAGGACGACGCATGCACAATCAGACTCTTGGGAAATGCGGGACGGCTTTGTCGAACATAGTTACGAGGTACTGTTTGCCCCAGACGCTGATTTCCAACGTGCAGTGCAAAGCGAGTAGTGAATTTAGGTATGTTTAACTGTAGGTGGGGGAAGGGTTCTGCTCACAATTTTTGGGAGATCCGCGGGCTCAGAGCTTAACTTGACTTTGTTGGCAGGAGGGAACTACATAATTTGTCCATGCCAGGCTCATTTTTAAACCCCACCTCTCCTGATAATTACTGCACAGTCCCTTGAAATTTGTTATTGATCCGTAAATTAGTAATTGCACCTCGTGTCCTACAATTCAGGGATTTTTTTAGAGATTTTTTTCTCGTCCATATGATAAATTATTAATTGCATGAAGCTCGATCACTGACTTAGCCTTACAGTAGAACCCCTATTAGGCGGCCACCCTCGGGGAAATGGGAGGTGGCCGCTTTAATAGGGGGTTCGTGTACTTTAAATATTGTTTAGATCGGTTCAATTGCTTAGAGAACATAGAATCACGTCAAGACAATCATGATAAACGTGTGCTTGAATGTTTTCATCAGTCGTCAAATTCTATTTCGGACTCTTATCTGCCATCGTCTCATCCAAAAGAAAGCCAAACTATATGTATTAAATTTTGAGTGGCCCGTTAAAAGGAGTAAGGACAATAGAGAACTCCAGCATCGAGATGACCGAAAGGCCGCCGCGGCTGGCCGGTTTTACAGTATTGTACTGACAACAATTTCGGAACTTTGATATCTGGCCGCTAAATAGGTGGTTCGGTTGTATTACTATTACTAATGATAACAAAGACCGAGCAGAATTGATTCAACTTCAGTTCACCTTTATTTCAATCCACATTGGACACATTCAACTCTTTCATATATATATTTAAAAATGTGCTGACAAGTTTTTCAATCCTATTTAAACAATTCTCATTTTCGTAACGCCTGCCATTAAGCTCGGCGTCACTCAATTCTAGCATGGATAACTTCATTTGCAATAAACGGTGTGGCCCGCGTAACTGGCGGCATTTCGCGCACGAGTGCTTTAACCGATCCACGCCTGAGTGCCTGAAAAGAGCGGCGAAGCCGCGTGAAGAATAGGGAGTAGTCAACTTCGCCAGCTACGTAGGTTATCATATCACTCTAGAGTATTTATATCTTGCAAATCCAAATAATGCAATTACACGCGATGCCCACAAGCGGTACTCACACGCGACGCCCACACGCTGTCTACACGCGATACCTACACCTTTTGCCCGTTTAGTGCCATACTCTAATTTCTGTTCTTCTTTTTCTTCTATACAAACTGTTTAGTCTAACATGGTACGAGACAACGCTTCAAACGACGACAAAATTCGTTCTGTTTGATGTTCAGCGGTCTCAAGGAATTGTTTTATACATGTTGATGAATTGTTTTGTGGGGGGACCCTAATCTCGGCAAGACCGTCGTAGTTTCCAGAAACAGGTTGGAAAGTCGATAGTCGTCAATATGGCGCGTTACTAGATGATCAAAGAGCATTCTATTCAAATGATGATATTGTGTTGTTATCAATTCGCTATCAACGTTACCGACTGACTAAGGACGACGTTATAGTCAATGTCACAGGACACCGACTTATTCTGGTCACATGAAACTATTCTAGTCACACAACGTTATTGTAATGCAGCTCTATCATCTCGACGACATCAAAAGTCAAGAACAAAGCCGCGGAATGTAGGCTTTCACACGATGATGACAATTCATCTCGGTCTCTCCAATCAAGGCCACCAATTGAAGAATGAAGAACAGTAAATTCTGAGTCATTGTCTCCGTCCTCTTGCTTGTCAGCCTCGCTTTCGGCCATACTTTCCGCTTGTCCGTTGCTCAAGTAACCCATACTTGTTGCTGATGGACACTTGCTAGTTTTACCAGAACAAGGAACGCTAATTATGTCGTAATCTTTCATGCGCACATCGTCTGGACAAGCCGCTAGAGTGTCTTGCTCGTCATCGCTACTGTCGTATCTGTCACCAGCAAGGGAATTTTCATTTTGAGAGTTTAGCCAATCCCGCACTCGGATAAAAGGTTCACTTTTAACAACCTCATAGTCTGACAAATTAAATTCCGTCTCGTCATCGCCTTCGTAATGTTTGGAATCGCCTGATACGCCATCACTACTCTCGCCAACTGTTTCACTGCCCCTGGGGTTTTTCACACCCGCGGGGGCAATCATTAATTGTCCACCTGGCAACACAGATGCTACGTTGTGAGAAAGACTTAGTCTTCGGTTGAGCGGGTTTGACTGTTTTTCCGAGCAATCTGGACAGTGCGCCCGAAGCTGTAAGCTCGATCGCGATTTTCGTAGCGCTTGACAGGTGTACCCTGAACTCCAACCATTTCCCATCAGGCCACTTGATACATAGTTCTGCTGCGAGGCTACCCAGCTCGAAACATCTAAAAGAGAAATAAGAGTGAGTCGTGCGCATGTCATTACACGTGTGATCCGTGATCATGGAATTGAGCGGTTTTCAAATGACATTTCTATGCTTAGCGGCTCGCGCCACTCAGAAGTGGATCCAAAACCACAGCGACTTGCCCGCACACGTTTTCTCGCGTTTCGCCTGAACTGCATGTATTTGCTTCCAGTTTCAATTAGTTCAAGCTTCAATGAATTTTCCGTTCATATTCTTTGAGATTGGCCTGAGTGAATACTTGGTTTTGCTTTTACGACACTCAATTGAAAACCGCTCTAACTTGTAACTACAGCACAACATGGTCATTATGGTATTGACGGTTTATATCATTTGCAACTGACGTCATCGCCGCCATGTTGGAGGAACATTAACAAAGAAATTCTTGTTTATCCAACATGGCCGCGAGGGTCTTTGTTGATTGAATCTCTCGGGAATAGTTGCAAACCATGAACGGTTGAAAATTCGCTTGTTTGTACATCTAAAATACAAGACCAAAACCCAAGATTTTAACAGAGATAATAGTAAAACACATTTTAATCATTGGTTATTGTATTTAGTAAGTTTGAGAGGACTGTGTGTGAAAACGACTGCAAAAACAGCATTCAAAATATACTAGCGCACGCGCGCAACACTAGCGCACGCAACGGGATAAATGATTCCTTTATGGAGCCACCTTACAACGCTTTATCCATTCTTGCAAAGACTTACCATCGAGAATGCCTCTCTTTTCTTCAGCGTCGTCAGGTTGTACACTGCCCGAGAAGCCGCTGTCTCCCGTGGAGTGACACGTACATCTCCTGTCCTTGTTTTCACGATACTGAGCAATACCTTGTGGATCAATGATGTCCAGTAGTTCCCGACTGTCTTTTCCACTGATGAAACCCTCCATCTCTTTTACTGTAAGAGTGCTTTGAAGGAATAGGTGGAACGCAGAGTCCGCGAGAATTTGCGTGATTCGGGTTAGGCTGGAAAGAAAATTAACATGAAAACTCCATTATTCGCGCGCATGGAAAACAACGATGGGGAGGGGTTGAAATGTTCCCTATCCTCTTACAACCAATATAATTTTTCACAATAACCGCAGAAATTCTCGCGTGCTCATTGGCTAATTTTCGTTGTCAATGAACGGACAGACACATGAATTTATGTGAGAATTGATTGCAAAATACAAATTATTGTCAGTATTTCATGCATCTGTTTCCTGAATTTCATTATAACATTGTCCAAGTAGTGTGCGGATCCACTCGATTCTTGCCAAGGCGATTGTCGAGTGGAACTGCAGACTACTTTGACAATGTTATGACGAAATTCATGATCAATAACAAGACAGACGCATGAAAAACTGACGTCAATTTGTTCAGCCGAAAGCAGTATCTTTTCTTAGTCACGTTGTTGAAGATAGCTATCTTCCAAGAGGATTCCGCATTGAACAAAGTTCTTCAGACACGATTTCTCCGATTTCTACGATTTCAAAATAGGTACAAATTTGTCAAATCCACTGCAAATCCATCGAAACGTGCCACAGTACATCGCGTGCTGTTAAATTATGAAATCGACAGATTCATTGGATCATTAGCTGTGTTCGTAAACCGTACATATTTCAGAAATCACTCTTCATGGAAACTATCTGACATCGGTTTCCTATCTGAAAAATCGCGCCAAGTTTGCACAGTTTCAACATGGCGGAAAACCCGCGAAACGTCCTGTTGTGGTGAAAAAGAAGTTTGCTGGCCGATATAAATTCAAATCACTGAAAACGCGTCACCCTCTTTTCGAAGCCCATGAAACCTTGTTATAAACAATACCACATAAAGAAAATGGACGCAGGACAATGAAAGGGAAAAGCTTAAATCTCGAATAGACCATTTTACAGTTGTCTGCTCAGTGACCTGGCCTTTGTATGGCAGCGAGGCAAGAGTTGACCTTGTTTTGATACAGACCTCACTGCTTTTGTCATGTAAATGCACCTAGTTAGCATCAGAACAACTTNGTGCATTTCCAAGCTTATAAGAAGCGTGTGATACAGCTAGATCGCAAAGCTTTTTTGCAAGACTAATGTGTAATCAGAACTGTTTACAGTATGTAAATTTTACCGATTCAGTTTGAACAAAGGAAGGGGAGGTTTCTAAGCAACCAAAAAAGCCTCTTTGTCTGAAGGAAGTAAAAATACGATATATCGTTTTTGTTCTACCAGTGAATTCAGGGCCATGCACATGCAAAGAGTGTTGATCATTGGGGACGTAACTGCTTAATGAACGCTTTCAATTTATTCATGTCTGCTAAATTTCTACTCACAGTGCAAGCGAACTATGTCTTGACAAATGTTTCCACAACCACACAAACTCCGAGAACCGTCTTCTGACTTGTGTACTTTGCTTTGCAAAGATCATGCTGTTTGTCTGTGAATAGAAAATAAAGCCTTTTAGAAACAGAAAAGAGTCTTTGAGTACGTTGCTACACTCTGGGACCCTTACCGCTTTTTTTCTTGCTGGCGCGAACACCGAGCAACTTATCGACGAGAGCGCGCGAGAAATTCTGGGCAAACAGAAAGTAATCCGAGTGTTTCCGCTGCTGCTACTGCTAAGAGTTCTCCAAAAGGTTTTCGAGTGTTTCTTTAATGATGTAGCTCTATTTCATTGAGATATCCACAANTGTGTACTTTGCTTTGCAAAGATCATGCTGTTTGTCTGTGAATAGAAAATAAAGCCTTTTAGAAACAGAAAAGAGTCTTTGAGTACGTTGCTACACTCTGGGACCCTTACCGCTTTTTTTCTTGCTGGCGCGAACACCGAGCAACTTTATAGACGAAAGCGCACGAGAAATTCTGGGCAAACAGAAAGTAATCCGAGTGTTTCCGCTGCTGCTACTGCTAAGAGTTCTCCAAAAGGTTTTCGAGTGTTTCTGTACTAATGTAGCTCTATTTAATTGCGATATCCACAAAAAACCCTCTCTACATTGTTACAGAGTTACAGAAACACAGCTTTGAACCAATCAAGGCGAGCATTTCCTGCCGAACATTTTGTCAACAATGCCTTTTCCGCAGTGTAGTTGAAATCATTTAAACTTGAAAAGCCCATTTTACGGGCGCATCGTAACAATATATTTAGACTATTTACCTGAGTAAACTACTCACCAGAACTACGATCTCATAGTCCGTATAAACTGGCCATCCATGCAATAAGTGGGTGCGAGGATTACGGACGTGGATAGAAATGAACTGAAAGTAAAATAACAAACGTGAAAGTTTACATGAGGTAATCTGATGGTGAAAACAGAACGTAGCTTGTCATAAAATATCAGAGAATATTTCCCCAGGAAACAGTTATCTCTATCATACTTACTCGTGAAGCGGAATTCTCTCTTAAGGCCATGCTGTTAGATTATTTTAGTTTTGGATATGCCCTGTTCGAGATCTCAGCCTCGGTTGAGGTACCGGGAATGAAATGCGATACTGTGCATGGCTTTGGAATGTCGTGGTACGAACACGTGAAGATTGTCACGCGCTGCAACTGTAATCTCGTTTTATCTGTGCCCGAAATATTAATAGCCTGAAATACGCATAGGAAACGTTAAAATATTCTCTGAAAGATGACTGAACCAGTTCAGTGGTGAAACCATTGACGGGGCGACCAGACGCAATGGACGATGGAACTCGGTTTATTGGCAATAACAAGCGACAACAAAAGACGGGTCAACAAGGGTCTTTCCATCTCTTCAATATTACGTAGTTGCTTCAAGCATCATTGCGTCAGAAGAAAACCTAACATTGATTCTTGTATAGTCTGCGGCTTTTTAATTTCATTAACCGATGCACTCAGGTCAAAGTCCTTCCCACAAGTATGTGCCGAATTGTTCGAAATTTTATGATCACGTTTCTCGCCCACAGGGGACTGGGCGACTACTGGTAATAAGCCAATTATATTCAAGCGACATATCTTTCAACTAATTTTAGAAGGTGTCTTTAAAATTTCTTGCGTGCGTGATGAACATTTTGCTGTTAACAAATAGTTTGTTGACTTTTGAGTGACGGCATGCAAGATTTGTTTTTCGGCAGAATCAAACAAATTTTGTCGGCCCACTCTTTGCTTATCTTTCGCTGCCTGTGACTTATAGACTTCCTCTACAGTCGAAGCTTGCTGGCTTCTAATGTTGATTGTGAGTGACAAGTGTTGGCAAGTGGCAATATTGGCGCATCACGCCCAGGAAAAAAGATAGGTTCGACTTCCGCCGCTTGGTCTACGTACTGTTCCTGATTCGGGGGAAGTAGTCTAAAAAGCGCGGGCTCCTTTTCCGAACAGCGGCTGGTAATCGAGCAGGGTAGCAAAAAACGTGACTTTCTTGATCCGTTTAAATAAAACTCCAGACTCATCAGAGAACAATAGACTGCAAGGCTGATACTAAGTGAAAAACGTTTCGAGACACCAACATGACAAGAACCGATAGAGTGAGTTCAAAGTACGGAACTTGATATAGTGCACGGGTCATTTTGCAATTTATGTGCGTTGGCTTTTGGGCTGGCGTTACATATCTTCGCTACACAGTGCTGACGAGCCCCAAGAAGGGCGAAACAGCTGTCCACTGTTGCGATCCTACTTTATCGGTTCTTGTCATGTTGGTGTCTCGAAACGTTTTTCACGTAGTATCAGTCTTGCAGTCTATTGTTTGTCTTCATACATTTTTTTGGCTGATCAGATCTCTTGTAGATCCTACGTTGGCAGCGTTTATCGTATGCGGTCCCTTGCAGTTTCTGGTTTCTCATCAGGGAGCACATTTCTCCTTCCTCGGCATTCAATGCAAATAAATTCCCTAATTTGGTGGCCGAAAGATCACAGACAAGGTCGAAACAGTCGATGAGTTTTGTCCCGGTTTTAGCTCTTGTTGCCAAACGTTTTCAAGCGTTGTAAATGCTAACTCGTGGCAATGTTGCCATCGAAAGTTATGTGTAAAAATTAAAATGTGGAGCGTTGAAATTGAGGAGTGTACAAAATGGAACCTGAAAGGTCAGTCATCTCCCGCCCTCAGGAGGGCGGGAGATGAGGAATGTGGATATCGAGGAGTGCAGAAAATGCGGAGTGTAGAAAATGAGGAGTGTGGAAGATCGCCACACCAGTACGCAACTGAACAGTCCTCTGTCCTCTTTGCTTACCCTAGAAAAGCAAACTACTCTTCACGAAATAAAAACAAAATCACAAGATCAATTTTTTTTTTGTTTGTTTTCAAAATCGGGAAACAATGCAAAGTACTCGTAAAATTCATCTATCACCTAAGACGGGGCTTGGATTTCAAAATCTTGCCTTTCGACAAAAGGTTACTTTGGGGCCTGCCAAACTTCGAGTGGAATGGCGTAAAAGATAAGGACGCGATTGTTATTGGTATCAGTTTGAATAAGTGCAGATGAAAGGCGCTTACGCCACTATAAAGGTAAAGGTTTTGTTGTGAAACGATTTTTTGGAGAAGGGGATTTGTAAAGGAACCAAATATGCTTGAGGGCCTGTGCCATCCGAACATTGCTCTGAGTGGGTTTTCAGGACAAAATTACAAATTTTATAAGTTCCTTTTGCGTCCCTCAATTTCCTAAAAGAGATTTGGAAACAAAGAAAACATCACCGAATATAGAGGTCATCACCGATCCACAGCTTCTCTCACAAATCTCGCCCTTTTACATACACCTACAATGGCTAGTTAACTGGAAATTAAAACCACACATCATTAATTTGCACGCGTACTTTGTTTTCTCTAAAATCCAAAAGATGTGTTCTCGCGATTTTGAAACAAGCAAATAATAAATTTTGCGACAGTTTTTTTCTTTACGTCAAGAATACAGTAGATTGCTTCTCAAGGGCCAGCACAGAGAGCAGGGGATTGGAAGGAGTTATCTAGAGTATTTTTGCGATATTACTATAATGACGGAATAAAGATTATTTTTAAATTTCCGTTTCCATACAAGCTTTCTATAATTTTTTTTCCACACTCCGCGTATTTCACCTAACTTTAAGATTTTCTTTAGAACACTAAAAATCTCTATATTCAATCTTGTCATGACTTCTGATACGGCCCGGTATCATTTGCGGACCCGTAGGCCGTACAGGTCACGTTTTTTGCTTGTCTTTCCGATCCCAGCGTTTGTCACGCCAAAAACGTGGGGGGACAAACAAAACGTGATCAATGTCTTTGAACTGATCAGACCGCACAAGACTTTTTCACTTCAGGAAACCTTTCCTAAAGAATACCCTTTATCCGCTTGTGGGTTTTCTTTTCTTCAGCAACAAACTGTCTAAATGTCTCTAGACTAGCTCCCAGAAAATCCATTATTCAAAAATAAACCGATCAAGACAGTCACCTTCTTGGCTTTTGGCGTGACGCGCCCCTTGCCACTTATCAACACTTGTCACTCGCAGTGAAAAAAAAGTTGAAAAGAGGTCCCAAATTTTGATTTTAATTTATTGGCAGGAAAATTGAGAAAATTAAACAAAGTATCGAAGAGGCTAAAAGAAAAAGGATCCGGCAAATTTCGATTTTCAGTTGTTGACCGAAAAATTAAATTGCTCATGTTTCTGTCGAAACTAAGTAAAAAGGTATCTTTTTCAACCTAAGTAGCGTATCATATGAAATGTATAAAAAGGTACGATTATTTATTCGGCTAACAGTCAAATACAAGGAATACTTCAAAAATCTTTCAAAAATGGGGACCAAGCACCCATTTAATACATCAGAAACCCAGAATTGCCAGAAGCCTTCACTGATTCTCTACTTCTGGAGCCAACGATAATAAGTATTTACTTTGCGGTCTTAAAAAATAATAAAAAAGAAAGAAACCTAAAAAGGCTGGCTTGAGCTTGTTTACTTCACTCATGGTTGGAACACATGCACGCGCGCGCTGCCCCAGAAAGACGTGGCGCGTTGCAAAGGAAACACTTTTACTATATTGCGGGTATATTGTTTAACAAAATAAAATATTATTCCGATGTCAAGCCTTGACCTCCTAGAGATATCGGACTGAACTTGTCACTTCATTCGCGTCATATTGAGTACATATGTACAAACTTCCATCGTGTACATGGGTACGTAAGCGCCGAAGAAAAATTTGCGAAAAGGGGTCGTACGCGAGCCTTATGTGTCGACAGCACCTACAGCAAGGGATGACAAGAAAATAGTGGGACGCAAATATAAGAGTAGGGCAAAAATAATGCTTTGTGTTTTTTTGTCGTTGAGGTAAGCATAAAAAACTTATGATAGTAAAAATAATAATAACATCCACGTTAATCTAGTGAATTCTATTTGTTTCTCCCGGGAACGAGTCAGAGCGCAGAAAATTTTGTGCACAGCTGAGTGCGAAAGAAAACAGCAGACTCGTTTAAAATGCAGCGCGATTCAAGGTAACGCTTCATAGCTAGGTAGCAGGTTAAAATGATTCCGTTCCATCGCGTTCTAGCGACCTGCCTTCCGGTTTGTTTCCCCAACAGGACACTAATCAACAACAGCCGCAATAATTCATGAAATTTACAGTCGTTCTTATTATATCCCGTCTTCGTTTTCTGCCCAAGTCGCGGAGACAACCCATAACGAATAAATCATGTAACAAATTAGACTTATCTCACTATGATAAACTTCCATTAAATTTCCAGACAAATAGGCTAACACAACTACGATAGGCTAGTAAAAATTTTATCCATGTCAGCGAAAGCAAGTTATAAAACAATTCAAAGCAGCGTTCACCTTAAAATTTTCTCCCTGGTCGCTCGGGTTAGCCATCCTCCGTCTGTGGCACTGTGTGCGGACCGTCCTCAGCGCATGTGGTGGTAAAATTACTTTCCTGTTGTAAGCGCCAAGATTTTTGATCGCTCGAAAATGAAACCAGTTTTTCCTGTTGACTCTTTGAGTTCAGCGTTTGGACAGGAGTCGATGAAATGAGATCCCGTTGAGTGGGCCACTAAAATAACGCACATAAACAAGAGATTACAGATCGTCGTGTCACTGAAAGGTCAACTACATAATGGATAGTTCCAAATACCTTAATTTTCCCTGATCTGTCTTTCTTGCTCGTCCTGGTAGAACCCTACGGCTTATCCGCTGATATCTTTGCTCTGTACACGAGGCCCCAGCCCTGAAAGATTGCAACAGCAGCCTTATGGAAGCCCTAATCTCCTAACATACGCACACTGTAATTGTCCATGGCGTTACTCGAAGGGAACGAAAGAACCAGTAAAAATTGAGTTTGCGCAACACTTTGAATAAGTTATGGCAATGTGCAACAATACTCCGCTAGGAGACGGAATTCATTTGATTATTGCGAAATATGGGATTTTAAAAAACGTACACCGTCTGTGAATTAGTAATTTCTAATTTCGGACCTTAAATTCGGTGATTTTTCTATTTGTATTAAAACTTCCTGTATCTGTAGACAGCACATTTAATTTTACAGTAAAAACTTTAATCAGTTGCACAACATCCGGGAAAATATTCATTTCTTTTGTTCTTTCTACTTTAATGTTTTAGTAAATTATCTCGTACAGTGGAACCCCGCCTTACGACCACCCGGTTCATACGACCACCTCTTTATTACGGCCACTTTATTCTGGCCCAAAAAAAAAGGTCAGTCAGTCATTTTCTTATTTAAAGAACTCCTTTACTACGACCACCACGTTAGCGCGACCAATTTTTCATGGCCCGAAGGTGGTCGTATTAACGGGCTTCCACTATAACAAAACCGTGAAGTAGACATTTATTTGATTAGAGTTTCTAATGATGACGAAGATGTAGATGGTAAACACGACGATCTGCGACGATTTCGAAGAACGGTGTTGTCTGGCCTTGGATTCCTTCCACCCTCAGCATGATCATGATTTAATTTGTTCAATTCATCAACCACTGATCATGATGTCAGATTTCCGCCAAGCGGAACGCGACGCAACTTGTCGAATGCCTGGGGAATGCCTAGGGTGTGGGAATGTTTAATATCTAAATTCGACCCCGGTATTTGATTAACACATCGTAAGATTATGTAGTTGGCGGTTTTCGCCACTTTGAGAAGGGGACAAACGTACTTTGCACGAAATACAATGTTCGTTCAAAAAAAGAGAAAAAACTGACAAAAAAGTCTGAGGTATAAAATTTACATGGCAAAAGATTTTATTGACGAAATGTGTCTAAATACTTAGCGTGATAGAGCATTCGCGACGGTTCGCGTGATTTCTCCAACAGACTTGACTCCGCTTGCGAACAAAGAAGTTTTCAAAAATGGAAACCGAAAGTCGACAAATGAAATTGTTTTAAAATTCCTTTCTTCCAAGTACACTATATCTAAATGTTTTAACGTGTGAGGTAATAATATCAATTCACACCGATTCGGGTGTTCAACAATTAGACTTTACGCAATTTTTGCTCCCTTTTCAAAACGGCCAAAAACCCCCGAAC